CCTGTCCAACCTGGGATAGAACACCTTCCAGGGAAGTGATGCACTTGGAACACCCCAGATGTCCGTGGCTCAGCATCACCCTGCCCTGGCTGGGGAAAATTACTCAGTCCAGTCTGCACTAGGAGTAACCTCTGAGTGCCCCAGGAGCAGCCACACTTTTTGGTTTCTCCCCCTCTCTGCCAATTTGAACCAGAATGTGCTCACAGACAACCTGATAAAGACATTTTAGAAGACTCGATAAAGGTACAAACCGCACACAATGACATCCTCTCTTGTCTTCCTGCTTGACTCCACGATAAGGATCTGGCCGTTTTTGGCTGATCCCCACCCTGCCATTCTGAGGGTTGTTTCTCCTCTCTGAACCTCTCCCTTCCTGCCAGCATCTTGTTGAGAATGGGGTGCCCCAAACTCAGCTCAGCTCATCCAGGCACCCACACACAGGACCAGACAAACCAGTCACCTGCCCAGCCCCAAACTGCAGCTCTCCGAACTCAAACTCTTCCAGGGGTTATCCCGTGCCCCGTACTGGTGACAGCTCCATCCGGCAGCAGATCGCAGCCTCAGGCTGTTCCTGGGAATTCACCAAAGTCTGGAATTCTTTAGACAGTAAAATGTTGCCCCAAACTCCCGAGTCTGGCCTCGAAAACAATGGGACCGATTTATAAATCACCATTTTGCAGTTGCAGGATTGACTTAGAGCCCTGGGAACACACCTGGTGGGGGAGATAACTCTTTTCCAGGCTCCTCTGTACTTCAGACACAGGGGAACTTTTCTAAAATACAAACTGCATTTGTCCTGAGATCACCTGATGCCAGAAATCAGAGTTTTTAAAGAAAAGCAGCAAAATAATATGAGGGGAAAAAAACCCCAACAAACAAACCACAAGACATAAATTCCCCTCCATGCTCTTAAAATGCCCCGGCCACAGGAATTACCTGCCCTGTGAGATCTCCCAGTGAATTTTCTGTTTATGAAGGACGGAGCCCAAGTCACACCCCGGTCCTTCCATTACAAACCAGTAGCCAGAGCCAAACACAACGTAGGTAGAGGACACCAACTCGCCACACCCGGTTGAAATAACCCACCAAACCATGTCCTGACCCTGGGACATCCTTGAGAACCCCCCTAGCCCCGACCCAGCCGAAGCCCAGGCGGCTTGAGCGGAGCTTTTTGTACGTGGGAACGCGCCGCAAGTTCAGGCTGCCAGCTCCCCTTTCTGAGTGATTTCCCCGAGAAATCACAGACCCCCGGGAAGGCAGAAAGTCCCGGGATTTGCCGAAATAACAGGCAAAACCTTCACTGAGCGACAGAGAGAACCTACCCCAGGCTCCGGCAGCGCCGAGCGCGACGATCCCGAGCGCCAGCCAGAACCGTCCCATCTTCTCCTCCGAGCCCCGGGCGCGGGGGGCTGCCTGGACCAGCCCCTCTGAGAGGGATGGGGAGCAGCTCGGGAGGGTTTTGAGCAGCCCAGGAGATGAATCATGGGTCGGGCTGGATGACACACATGGCGAGCGGGGCGGCCGGAGGAAACTGCGCCGGGCTCGTCACTCCGGAGTTCAGGAGTGTCCCCGCCCGCTCCGCCGCCAGCTCCTCGTGCTGCTCTCGCCCTCCCAGCTCGCACAAGGACCTAAGAAACCCTGGCAGCGAGTCCTCGGCACTGGTGACCTGCAGCCCCGGGGCTGGTAACAGGCTCTTTGCCATAGGCTCTTCCGCCTGGCTTTAATTCCTTGCAAAATCTGGCGCACTCCTTCCTTTCGTTAACTCTTGGCGGCTCGTTTTAAACCCCGGCTGAGCTGCCCGAGTTCAAGGATTCGAGGAGAAATAGAGCAAGTACACAGTGGTATGAAAGCGTGGGTTCTCAGCTCCCTCCTCGGAGATGGGCAAATGGGAATATCCCAGCTGGGAGTTGAGGGAGACCCAGCCAAAAACTCGGACCTGGTGGAACCAGCAGTTTGGGTCTAAACCTGGATATTGGCACAGCTTGGGGCCAGATAATTTGGACATGATTTACTTCTTGCCTGTATTGTTTTTCTTCCCCCTCTGTGTCCTCAGGAATTGCTCCTGTGCTCAGCAAGTACAGGGAATGGGATCTGCACAGGAGTTTGTCCCCACTGAAATGATGATGAAAATGAAATGTGGATGCCTTCCAAAGGGGTTTTATCAACCTCTTGTATCAACCCTGCAATACCAAGGTCAGAGACATGGAAACCCCACAGACAGGCTGAGGGGCAAAAGGGAGAGAAGGGCTGGGATGCTCTTTCCCAGCAGGTGACAGGGGTTGGGGACAGTAATGAAGTCAATATGATCCAACTCACAGAAATGCCAGGCAGTAGAAAATGAGCTCATTTTGGTGCCAAGAGCTGCAGCCACAGCCTGGCAGTGCCAGAGCCTGCAGGGGATGTGCCCAGTGCTGTGTGAGAGCACAGCCCCACACCAGGAGGGGTGGGGATAACAACACCTGGCCCAGATCCTGCAGATCTCAATGAGGTGGCAGCGTCTGTGAAGGTGAGATGGAGATGTGGTCTCTGCTTCAGGATCTGGAGCTTTCCCTTGGCTTTAAAAGAAGATGTTTTGATGCCTCTTTGCTTCCCCAGCAGCCCCACAATCCCTGTGGGTGCTGCTGTCCCCCCATGGTGTGTGGGCTCTGCTCACTGGGATCACTGGAATCATTGTCTGCCTGGGATCCAATTCCCTCCCCATTGTTAATGAGGATTTGGCAAAGGGGACTAGAAGTCCATCGACCCTCCTGTGGTGTCAGAAAGGGCTGTGCCTTGGGTGAGACATCAAAACAACCCCCAGATCTGCTTTTGGGTAGCTCTAGGCTTGCCCTGCTTCAGATCCCAGAGCCATCTCACACTGCAGAACCCATTAGCCAGTTTTAGGGCACCCAAATTCCTTATTTTCTGCCTGGACATGCTGCCTGTGTGGCTTTCTGCCCACATGGCTGCCTGTCCCCATGTACTACCCTGTGTCACCCTGTGACACGTCCAAATGCTTCATGGGAGTGTCCTGAGAGAGCTGTGGGACCCTGCTGGGCTCTGCACACCCCAGAACCTGAGCTGCCATCCACGTGCCAGGCTCTCTTCACCAGGCACTCGCCCTGCCCAGCACCCAGTTGCCCAAACTGGCAAGTGCTGCTGTTCCCAAGGGTCCTGCAGCTCTGTGAATCCTGGAACTCCCTGCCCAGCGTGGGCTGTGATACTCCCAGCATGGTGTCAAAACTCTGAGGAAGAAGGGAAAAGTAATAAAATGATGTATTTCATCTGCCTGGACCTTCCCCGGGCTGGTCGTGCCTGAGGACAAGGATGGCATGAACTTATCCAGTCACTTTTGGGTGGAATTTCCCAGCCAGCTGCAGGAAGGTGCTGCTTTGTCCTGGAAACATCTCTGGGATGTGGATGCCCCATCCCTGGAAGTGCTCAAGGCCACCTTGGACAGGGCTTGGAGCAACCTGGGCTAGTGGAAGGTGTCCCTGCCCATGGCTTGGGGGGCTTGGAACTAGATGATCCCAAACCATTCCAGGATTCCAGGCACCAGTGTAACAGCCAGTGGGATGCTCTGGATTTGGGGATCTGCAGTGGGATGAAGGCAGGAGAAGGCAGGGGAGTGTTTGAGAGCCCTGGCAGCCCCATCACCACAGTCTGTGACCCAGGAGTGTGCGAGCAGCCCAAATCCATGCTGGGAGAGGAGAGGCTGGAGCTGGAGCCACCAGAGGGAGCAGAAACTCCTTCAGTCTGGGAGAGAGCAGGGAGAGGAGCTCCCACCCGCCCGGGCTGGGGCACTGGGGGTGCTCTGGTTTCCCGTGGGGATTTTTCCTGGCCCTCAGGTTAAACACAAGCAGCAGCTCTGTCACCTCCTTCCTGCCACTGCTTCTTCTACAAACTGCCCTCGCAGAGCAGGAGCAGCTCAGGGAGGGAAACACCAGGTGCTGAACAAGGAGGAAAACGCAACAAGTAAACCCCAAACCGAACAGTTTTGGGCTCCTAAAGTCACAGCAGAGAGCAGGTCCCTGCCCAGAGGGAAGATCAGCTGACACTGTCCCTACAAAGCTCCCCCCACCCTTGGCTCCTGCCTTTGGCTGCAATTCCTCCATCCTCATTTTCGGATCATTCCAATCCCCTCGGGGGCTGGGCAGAGGAAACGAGGCAGGATGTGCATGGATAAAGCAGGGCAAGGTGCTCAGGCTCTGGTCTGGGGGTGATCTGCTGCTCTGTGCCATCCACACACACTTCCAGGCAAACACCAAAGGGCAAAGCTGGGGAGCTGGGACAGGGCAGAGCCTCAGGCACAGCCCTGGGATGAGCAGGATCAGGACTGAGCCGGACACGGGTGGGCACCCGGACTTGTGGGGTCAGTCTGGGAGCTTGTGCAGACACTGAGAGGGCAGACACAGAGATGAAGCTTCCCCTGGGATTGTCCTGGTGGGGCTGAGGGGCCTGTGATGCTCCAGCCCTGGGTGCTGCTGTGGGACAGGGCAGAGAGCAGGGGCAGCACTGCCGAGCTCCCCTTCAAAGGGCCAAAGGAGCAGCCAGGGGGAGAAGGGAGAGATCAGCGTGCTCTGAGGAGCGGGAAGCAGAGAGGGGGATGGATCCAGCTCCCCCGGAGGCACAGGACAGGCATCAGCGAGCAGAGCTGGGGGTGGACTGGCTGCATTGGGCTGCTCGGGGAAGGAGTGGGTGGCACCGAGCGGCAAACAGGGATCAGCCGCGGCAGCGCTGACCTGAGGCTCGCAGGAGCCTTCGGGGGGAGGGGACAGGGACCTGCCAGGAGGAACAGCGACCATGCAGGATGCTTTAGGGAGCAGGTGGGGGGGGCTGGAGGCAGGGATGAGTTAGGTGCTGCTCCACAGGGCCTCAGGGGTCAGGCACTGGGGTGGGTGTGGGACCCGTGGAAGGGCAGAGAAGGGGTGCCCAGCGTGGGGAAGGGGTGGGCAGCAGGGGGAGCGTGGAGGGGAAGGAAGGCGGTCCTGGGGGGGGAAGGCTGGAAGGGGGTGGAGTTGCTGTTTGTGCTTTGAACACGGTGAGGACTTCAGCGTGGAACTTGCATTTGTGGAGCTCCCAGCCGGCAGGCACCAGCTCTGCCTCCCACGGGGGGAGCCCCGGGAACGGGTGGCACTGCTTTAGGGGGGCAGCTCGGGGCAGTGGCCAGGGCAGGGGCATGGGGTGATCTCTGGCTGCCGTCCTCTCCCCAGAGCCCCCTTCGCCTCTTCTCTCTCTCTCTCTCGTTTTGCTGGTTTGGGAGCTCGTGCTAACGCCGTGCCAGGAGGGATCTGGGAGCCAACCATCCCTCGGCTGCATCCCTGGCTTCCCACCTGCTCCCAGCCTCGAGGAAGTTCCCCCTCCAGAAGAAAGGCAGGAGGTGGCCCCCGGAGCCCGCCGAGCCCCGGCCTGTGAGGGGTGGGCAGCGGGGAGGCACAGCCAGCTCCCCTTCTGCCTGTCCTGAAGATTTCGGGATCACGCCGCAGACCATGAATGGATCCTTTTTCAACCAGACTCTCCTGGAGCAGGGAGCTGACCCCAACAGGACCCAGGGCTTGGGGGTGCTCATGGCCTGCTGCAACGGGACGGGCGCCGTGCTGGCCACCGACGGCGGCTCCTCGGCGCTGAGCCCCGACGAGAGGAGCCTCTTCATCACCAGGGTGGTGCAGATCGCCGTGCTCTGCGTCCTCTCCTTGACTGTGATGTTCGGCATTTTCTTTCTGGGCTGCAACTTGCTCATCAAGTCCGAGAGCATGATCAACTTCCTGGTGAAGGACCGAAGACCTTCCAAGGACGTGGGCGCTGCGATCATGGGACTTTACTGAGGCTCCTGTAGGCAAGTGAACTGGCTGGACCCCGGAGCTGAGATGGGTTTGGGGCAGCTGGGGGGAGTGGGGAGGGAGGGAGGGATCTTTTAATCTGTCTGTGTCCACGGGGAAAAGCAAACCTGTGCCTCCCAGTTGATGTGAACAGGAGATGTTCCCAGAGCTGGGTGAAGCACAGGGAGTGCCCAGCGTCGTGTTGCATGCAGAAATGGCTTAAGTTTTGCATGAAACTTGCAGAAGCAGTGATAAAATGTGCAGATCTGGACTCTTTCCTGCTGTTTCCTTGGATACTGCTACCTGGGCTCTTTAGGGCTACATTTAAAAAAAAAAAAAAAAAAAAAAAAGAAAAAGAAAAGGATAAAACTAAAGGGAAAGCAAAATGCAGGGCATGGACTTTGCCTTTGACAGGGGCAGGGGAAGGGAAGCGCCCTGTGGGTCGTACAACCAAGTCTGCATGCTCCAAAATGTGTCAGTCTGTTGTGTTCTGGACCTTGAGCATGCACCTTCTGCTAGTTTTGTAACAGGGAAAGCATGTTCTTCCTTATTTTTCTGAGCTATCCTCTTAAATAAACCGGTTCTTTCTTCTTTCACGCTCTGGTGAAGGAAGAAAAGCACCCAGACAAATACTGACCCCACTCTACCCCCAAAACAAAAGCATGCTTGTTTTTGTACACACCAGCCTCTTTTTCCCAAGTGCTATATTGTTACAGTCCTTGAGGTTTTTGTAGTTTTTTGAAAACTGGTGAACATTCAGGAAAAAAACACAACCTGTTTCAAAAGAATTTTGTGGTGTCTTTATTCTTTGTGCGTGTGGAGTTCAGGGATTTCAGTCCTAGTTCCTGATATAATCATCTCACCTTCCAAGAGGTATTTCTTTAAAGAAGGAAACCACCACCATCATTTTTCCCAGGCAAGTATCAGTTATCACCAGCAAATAAATTCATCAGGAACTACATATTCCAGGCTCATATGAAATACCTGCACAGTGCTGAAGCAAAGACTCATAAAGATGCTTCGAGTGCCTCTTGCAAAGCAAGATTTCAGCCTTTGAGTTAAAACCTCCAGCTCCTCTGATCCTGATGAGCTGTCAAAGCTGAATTATGTGAGAGGAGGAGGACTCCTGACCTTTGTTCTGTGATGGAATTACAGCTCTGGCTGTGGGTGTGAGATGGAAATAATTCGTGTTTTGTTGCGCCAACAATATTCCTGCTGGGTCCACTTCTGGAGTGGGAAAGCAACCCTGGATGCTGGAGGAGCTGGTGACCTGAGCTATTTGGATGTAAATCCACAAGAACAGCTCTCTTGCCTTTCCCAGAGGGAGGAAAACGATTAGAGAATGTTTTGTAATTAATCAATATTTGCTGAGCACCTTCTCAGGGTTCCCAGGGGATGCAGAGCAGCACGAGTGCACTGCAGGCTCTGGTTGCTCCCACTGACCTGTTGCCTGGATGAGCCTCAAGAGCACAACAACGACGTGGAGGGAGGACCAGAATTTGGGATTCAAAGCCCTGAAATGCCCTGCTGGTGCCAGTGGAAGGGCTGAGTAGGCAGGGCTGGGATTTTTCTGTGATTCTGGGATTTTTCTGGCAGTTGTGGCTGCCTTCTCAGCATGGAGGGTTTCCTGCCCTGCTGTCAGATGTGAGAGTGGCCTCACAGGGCAGCCTGGAAGGGGATTTTGGTCCCTGCTGCTGACAGGGGTGTTATGGCCACTGATCTCCTAGCCCAGGTTGCCCAGAGAAGCTGTGGCTGCCCCATCCTTGGAAGTGTCCAAGGCCAGGTTGGATGGGGCTTGGAGCAATCTGGGCTGGTGGAAGGTGTCCCTGCCCATGGCAGGGGGGGGACTGGATGGGTTTTAAGGTCCCTTCCAACCTAAACCCCTCTGTGATTCTAAGATTCTCTGATCTGCTTGCACAGGAGGGCAAATCACTCCCACTGTGGGAGCTCAGCCTGCCCAGACCTGAGGGTGAGATGTGAGTAACCCCAAACACACCCAGCTCTGCAAACCCTTGGGCTGGACTTGTGTGTTTAACCCAAAGGTGTAAGTTCATCTCCAGGCTGCTGTGCTGTCACAAATTTACTAATTGAAATCCCATCCCCTTCTGCTTTCAGCTGCCATTTGGTCCCTCTTGCTGGCCCATCCACCAGCTGTGGCCCCAACACAGGGTAGAATTCAGAGGTGATGGAAGAAACCCTGCAGTGTTAGCCAGGACAGAAAGCTCACAGGAAAAGCTGCCAATCCACAGAAAGCACCAAAACCCCCATAACTGTGCTCTGGGTCAAGCACTGCTCACCCATCTCAGCTGTCCCCACCTCTGCCAGGGCCCCTGACAGCTCATGTAACTGGTGGAGATCCCACTCTCTGCAGTCCCACGGGGCCACCAACTTGCCAGGTGTCCTTAGAGGCCACATCCAGGAGTGGGGTGGGGTGGTCTTTATCCCTTTTGTGCCGTGGAGTCTTCCAGAGGTGAGGAGGAACATCACCCACGGCAAGGTCATGTCCACGTGAGGTGGAGGAGCAACGACACGGAGCTGGGCACTTGCTCAGGAGTCAGCTGGGAGAGGGAAGACTTTCCTAATGGCCTCTTTTGGGGTAACAGCCCAGCTTCACACTGGCTTGTCCATCCTCTGGTGGTGCTGTGTGTCACTCCTGACAGAGGGGACGTGTCTGCATCACCGGGTGGTATGGACAGAGGGAAGAGGATCTGCAGAGGGAGCGGTTTGGTGGGCACCAACCCCGTTTCCATGCTCCAGCACATGTCCCCGTGGGGTTATCAGGGTTACTGGGCTTCTGTCTGGCTTGCAGAGGGTGTAAGACACTTGCACATAAGTCTCCCACCCTACTAGATTCCCAATAAAATCTGATTTCCCCACTGAGAGGAGGAATTACTGGGGAAATGAAGGTCTCTGGAGGATTGACACCAGCACTGAGACAGCAAGAGGAGACCAGAGGAAGACCATGGAGGCCTGGCACAGTGAGGGAACCCCTTGGGTGTAGAAATGTGGGGTCTAAAGACCCTCTTGAGGTGAAATCAGGGTGCTGTTTCAACTGCCCTGGTTCCATCCCCACCCTGTTGTCACGGAGCAGCCTCCAGTGCAGGTCATGCCTGGTGGAAGGGGAGGTTCTGGGGGCACCACGATGTCCTCCAGATCTCAGGGGAAGAGCTGCCCTCCCAACCCCTGGAAACCCAGCTGCCCTGCCCCAGGGGCACGAGTCCTGCAGCCAGAGGATGAGGTGGTTACTCCAAGGCTCGTGTGAGTAACCAGACCATAATGGTTCTTTCTTTCCCCACAAAGAGCTGTGGTTTCTCATCTCACACCCACTCATTTAGTGTAAGCTCACAAGTGGGTACCAGCTCTAAAGAAAATTTAAGCAGTTTGGTGTTTGTTTTTTTTTTTTGAACGAGGCAGGTGTGATGTTATCTTTATGTATTTATTTTTTTTTTTAATTGTTACTTGTAGCACAGTAACTTCCAGAATGTCCCTGGGGTGCCAGGAGCTCTACAGGAATGATTGAGAGACACTGCTGGAGTGACAGGGAGGGAAGGGAAGTGCTCAGGTGGATCACCACATCACACAGAGCAAGGCCCAGCCCTTGAGTGTCATCTAAAAATCATCTCCTAGCAGTGGAACACAAGATCCCAGTGCAGTCCTGTGGGACTGGTCACACTGGTCTGAGTCACTGGTCTGTCTGGTCTGCATCCCTCCTCTGAAAACAACTATGATTTTGGGCTGTACGTTGTCTTGGAGGTCTTTTCCAACCCTAATGATTCCCTGATTCTGTGATCCCATGACTCCATGGTCAGTCAAGTTGTCCTGCTAATGGGGAGCTGCTTCTTGTCCCCCCCACAAGTGCAACCTGTCCTGGACCTTCACCATCCTCCTCCAGGCACAGCTCCCTGTCTCTGGGCTGGTCCCCACTTGCTGGGGTTCTGTTCCAGCTGGAATCTCTGATTTCCAGGCAGGGAGCAGGGGAAGAACAGAGAAAGGCAAGTGAGAGCATTTCCCCCCTGCTGAGCAGAGAAATCCTCTGCCTCTGGAATCGCTGATGATGGCACAGCTGGAGAAACAAAGAGGTGGCTTGACCCACCTGAAAAACCCACACAGTGCCCCTCAAAAAAAAACCCCAAACCAAATCCCAGGTGATGCCCAACCTCCTTCCCCTGCCCTGGCAGCCTGGGCTGAGGGCAATGGGAGAGTTAAACAGCAGACAGACAGACAGACAGGCAGATTGAGGGGGGGAAGAAGGATCCCAACCTGAGCCTGGCACCAGATGTACTGGAGCACCTGCACCAAACACACAGAGTATTTAATAATTCCTGAGAATTGCCATGGTAATGAAGCACAGAGTCAGGTTGTTATGGTAACAGCTTTATTTTTTTATTTTTTTTTTTAGGCAGGGAGGCATTACCCGGGTTGTAACCTCAATCCAGACTGAAAACATTTCTGAGAGCTCACAAAAAAAAAAAAAAAAAAAAAAGAGAGAGAGAGAGAAGTAAAATGCAATCAAATTAAATAAGTGGCAGTTTCCTGTTCCTCGTCTGGCAGTTCTGGGTTTGTTCTGTAGGTAGGTGGAGGGAACCAGGTTGTTCCAGATTGCCCTGGAAAGCCTGAGGAACAGCTGGAGTGGATCCCTGCAGGTTTAAACTGATTCTAAAGGGGGTGAGGGGCTGAACTCCTCTCTTGGATGGGTCTGGCAAGATGGAAATCCTGGGTCTGCCTCCTGCCCTCCCATCCCCAGGCAAAAAGCCTCTTCCACTCCCCTCCCAAACCATCCCCTCCAGGGTGTGAGGCCTGTCCAGCTGGTCCTCATGTGGAGTTTTGACTCAGTGCTGGTTAAATGAGCAGCTCTGGGAGCCTCCTGTTTTCTCTGGAGGGACCTGAGGGAGCGTGTGGTGGCTTCACTCGGCAGGGAAACGGTTTGGAATGTGCGGTGCCACTGCTCAGGAACATCGCCCCACAGATCCCACCGCCCTCCCCGGGGGTCTCCTGTGTTGGCTGAGCCTCTCCAGCCCATTAGCTCTGCCAGAGAGGGACAAATCGATGCCATCAGGGTCAGGGACTCGAGGGAGAGAGGAGACCAAGCGGTGGCAGAGTTCAGCGCCAGCTTTGCCTCACAGGCTCAGAGACTCCGCCTGCCAGTCCCCCTGTTTGAAAGGGAATCGTTTCCCAGTCTCTGTGTCTTCCAGCTGCTTTGCTGCTGGGGCTGCTGATGGCACTTTGGCCTGGAACTCCTCAGACCTGGCCCCGTGGTGGAGCCTGCCTGGAGCTGCCAGCCTGGCACTGGGTTTGCTCCCTGCCCCCGGTGCCCACCACGAAACCCGGGGCACACAAAGCTCCTCACTCCCAAATAAACGT